AAGGGTTTTTCAGGAACCGTTTTTACCTGATTCCTGGTAATAAAAATACTGCATGATCTTATGCTTCCACGCGACCGTTTAAATTTTCAAATGTCCACTTGCTGAAAGAAACGGTTTCGGTTAGTACGAGCTCTGTTTACGTGACGAGAGTCATGGAAATTTTAACGAAAAGTAGAAGGTCGAGAATAAGCTCGAGAATAAATTGTTTCGCAAGAAATTTATTCACCAGTTGAGAAAACTGCGTTCTATCGAAGCTTCTGCATGAAAACGATTGAATATCTGCTATTTGGCAGCTGCATATACATAAATACAAAACATTCACGCAATTTTCTGCGAACTAAATACATATCGCTGGAATTTCCACTTTTACGTATAAGTTTCCTCGCATTGTTAATTAATTTTTCTTCTTCTCAGAAAATTAATAGAAACAACATGATTTATAACGTGAAATGTTTCGATGTAATAATTTGACCGTGTCATTTGTACTCTATTCTCGCAGAACCTAACCCAACCTAACCTTTATTGTTATTTTCATGAACCGTTACTATTCCGCATGTTTATTTTCATTTTTACAAATAAAATATTAAAATTCTTAAGTCTTAAATAAATTTCGCCTCGTGTTTTCATATCATGAATTTATTATTTTAAAATAAACAAATTTATTTTGCAATTAATATAACTAGACTGTTTTTCGTATTGTTGTTTGCGAGAAGTAAGGTTATAAAATATTCCATAGAGAGTGGTCTTCAACTTAACGCGCCTTATTGATTATAGATTTCTATTGTATTTACAGAGTGTACATTTCGCAAAATTTTCGTTGGTAAGATCGAAAACTGTACTGTGTAAAGAAAAACGATTCACGTGCCGAGTGAGCGTTAATGGCGTCGTTGACAAATAAGAATTTCCGAGAATATCGCAGCTGTTGACCGCAAAAGATTAAAAGTTAAACAAAGCATTGGCGATTACGGATATAGAGATGATTGTAACGAGAAAAAAGAATACAACAGTCTAACCGGACGTATAAATGCGTGTTACTATAATCGTTGAATTCCCTGGGATTTTCCCTGCGTTCCACATGTATTTCACCGACGACTTGCATGCAGATATAAATGCATACCAAATAGAAAACTGAGGCTGCATATTCATTGAGGATTAGGCTTTGGAACGTTTAGTCTCGTATACGTATATTATTCCCGATATATTGCAACGAAAGCATGTGGTGTCCTTATTAATACTGACAGCTTGTAACGTAACGCCAGTGAATAACCAGTGTTTTTAGCAAGTTTAAGTGCGTAAGATAAGGAAGGACAAGTTATTGTGATTCAGCTGGATGAGGTGTTTAATTATGGAGATGTTCGTGAAAAATCTACAAGTAAGTTGTCTAATACATTTTTTCTTTAATCTGCAGGTGCAAGGTATTTGAAAATTGTATTTTACTTTCATGTTACAGTTCATGCTTGAAATAGATTATCACGAAATTGTTAGTATACGTGATTCATTTAGGACGCTTTTAATTAAATTTCAATAAAAATCTGTAGTTACCTAATTTTTTCTGAAACACTGAGCACTTTTAGAAGATTTCTGATAAAAATCCTATTTTGTAATATTACTTCCATTACTTCGTAGTAACTTCATAAGCTTCTGTTTATAAGCAATTTTACAACAAAGTATAAGAAGTGCTTTATAAATTCTGACCAATGTTGTAACATGCGTTTAGTAATTCGCAAAATAACAGAGAAAGAAAAGGCCATTGTTTTTGTAGGAAAGAACGTAACACATTGAAAACAAGCTGGAAGAGAAATATGCGTTTGGAATTTAAAAAAATTCTCGTGCACAGAATTGTAAATTGTAAAGCCGAACGCATAATTCAGGTTCAGGTAAACAAATTTTTTCTAAGCAATGATTAATATCACAGTAAATTTCATTTTACATATAGAATTTTTTTGTAAATCTTGCATTTACGTAATATTACATAAGAAAGTAGAGCAAATTTTACAATTTAATTCGAAAACCTGAAATTCTTCATCACATCTGACGATCATGAGATAAACCATACCCTTACTATGTAAATATTCGAGTCAAAATAACATGTGGCTTCTATCAGCAAATAATATTGATACTACGATAAAATGTATCGATTTTTCACTGACACTTGAGAAGAGAAATTCAAACAAACATAAACGATAGGCATGTGTCATGTTACTTCTACCTTTTTTTTTCACACTGTCCAAATATCGAAGATTAGAGAAATTGAAATTTTTAAAATTAGGATGCTTTACTTCAACGCAGACGGTATCCCTTTCAAGTGTCCAACCTTTTGGCTTGCCTGTGCCACACTGCGTGACGAGGAATCGTCTTGGGCCGCATACGAAATATATAACATATAGTTAACGTATATAAGCAACAAAACTTCCTTTATTTTTTTATATTTCTAATTATAACGCAATCGAGTCATGAAAAATGTCACTAAAAATCACGTAATAACGTTAAAAGTTTACGATCTTGTGGGGTTGCATTGCTAGCTCCTCTGGGCAGCATGTCGCCCGCGGGGCGTGTTGCTAGCCCTTGATGGCGTAACGAGCCCCGCGGGCCACGGGTTGGACATGCATGGTTTATTGCGCCTGTTGCGAAACAGAGGCAGATAAACGAGGTGTATGGGTCGATAAACTAAAGATGAAGCCTCTGACGTAGTTGTCCTACAAAACGAGCGGAAAATAGAAACACCATCGTTACTATTCTTCATTCCTGCATTGCCTCTGCTCGAGGGGAAGTGTGGTGCAGCTAAATGGTTTTCAATCATCTGTCGGTAATGTAGCACGCTGATAACAGAACAGGAAACTTTTCGAAGGTTGTTTGACCGTCTCGTCCTCTTATAGCTTATGGAAGGGATACAGTGAGGTAAAGTATAGCGTTTAAACGGCGACATCAATAGATGTAACCGCACCCAGGGCCGTCCTTCATTTGCGAACTGATATTTAAAATTTCTGCTCGCTATCTTTCATTTAAGGTATACCGTATTAAGCCTCCTTATTAGGTGTATTCAAATTTACCGCTAGATCATAATGTATCATACAGTATTGTAACACAGTGTAAGTAGAACAGTTGTTTCGTTTCGTGAAAAGATCAAGTTTAAAAAAAAAAAAACGAAATAGTTTTCAGTTTGAAGAAATCGGTTTGTCGAAGAACTTACGAGTATAAAGACAATTTGGTGTCGTCGAAAATTCAATCGTACGCCCGAGAGTCAGTGTCGCTTATGTTAGTTAAGTTTAACCAGTCTCAAGACAGATCTCTTAATTGCTCTCGTTGAACTATTTGACCCTTCAATTTGACTCTTCAATTTTGACCTGTCGCTATGTTTCGAGGATTTGTCGTCGAACATACTCGTTGAATTCGCTTTCCCTGGCTGCTTGCCAATACATACGAAAACGAGCCCATTTCATTCTCAACGCTGAATAAATTCTGAGGAGAGAAAGAAAGGAAAGGAAATTCGAGAGGACATTGCACGAAAGTGCAAAGTATCACGATTTCCTTGCAATCGTTGTTTCAAACGCTTTTATCTGCTAGAGAGCGCCTGTTATTGATCACGCTAACGTTAAAATTCCTGTTATTATTTACGATAGTTTCCATTCCGTATAAAAATCGCGTGACATCTCGCCTTTATAAAAATCTTCGATTTTATTGCCAGAGAAAAAGAATTACTGCACTTTTTACGCTCTTAAAATTATTAAAGCTTTCAAAGTTCGATTAAGCTGCGTTTCCATGACTAGAAACGACGAAAATCTGTTTTTCATACTGTTGAAACGAGGAAAAAAAAAAGTATCACACGAACATACGTCTGTAAATAATTTAATAACCTTTCACCCGCATGGAGTGTTGAGGAAAATGTATTTTCCAAAAGCCAAAGTTGTTAAACTGATAGCTTATTTCTGATTAACACGAATCAACCTTGGTTTACCTTTCTGTCCGTTATTGTCATGAATTTACAAGTTTTTTTTCTCATGCAGCGTTGTAATTCACGTTGCACGAAGTTATTATTCTACTTTTTTCTCGAACAAATCCAATTATCATAGTTGCATGATAATTATCGATTACAGAGCATGCTCGAACGTCTTATTTTAAATTTGACGAAATTTAGAAATGTAGAAGGTTTGTGAAAATGCTATTTCAGAGGATTTCTAGAATTTTAATTGCATTTTTTAAATTTGTCATAATTGTTGAATATTTATAAAAAAAAAATTTAGCTATTCAGGGTTAACCATTTTTTTAGGGGGTAAATGGAAATAACAGGTATCAGTTATGCTTTTATTTCGAACGATGAGGAACGATAAAAAATTTCCTCTTTATGCCGTTCGATGGAAGAAAAATATTCTCTCCCTCGAAAATTATTTCTAAATTTTGCGATGTTTCGCCCTTTTCGGCCCATAAAATTTTTGGTTGCCCGCACAAGGGTTAAACAACGGGAAAAAATATCGATGTTGGTAATACAGTAGGATCCCCTGTAACGCGGGAAATTCAAATTAAATTCCACCGATATCACTTTCTCAACGTTGGTACAGTTTCTTCGTCGCTTGAATTTTCTTCAACTTCGGAATTTGTACAGTAGGACCTCGTATAACGCTGTAAAAAAACTGCTATTGTCCCCGTATAACGCGATCAAAAAAGAAAAAAAAATCCGAATTTGTAATTTCGAAATTTTAGGTTAATTAAATTCCACTCGAAAAGCGACGTCGGTGGACCTTAATTTCTATTACGTACGTTCTTTTCTCGATCGCGTCTCACGGGGCCCCGTGAATTTTCTCTCCGTTCGACAAACATTCAATGCACACGCTAAAAGTGCGCACCATGGGGAATCGCACGAAAACGGTTTCCAACGGTGACGCGTTCATCCCCACCGGTGGTGCACGGGATTTCCTGGCAATGAAACCATTATAACCGGGCATTTCCAGTGTCGTCCAAGTAAGAAGTAACAACCTATCGCGACAAGGTGGACAACTCGCTCCGACCATTTGAAAGGATTCCGTGTTCGATGAGTAAATGTGACAGTGACTCGTGCGCAAAACCGTGGTGGGGCTAGCGGTCGAAGAGCCAGTTATTCGCGCGGGCATCTTGCCGAGCTCCGCTTTTCCTTCTCTGGACTCACAACCAGTTCAGCTTCGTACCGAGCAACAATCGGACGTTCTTTCCCTTTTTCTCTCTTCGTTTGTTTGTTTTTCTCCTCCGTGACCAGAGGACAGTTCGCACTTTGAGAGTTTGCGACGAGAGAGAAACGGAGTGAATCAGCGAAATGTTTCTTAAACCGGTAAGTGGACGGACGGGGACGGCTGACCTTTTTCTTCGTGCAGTTTCGTAGCTAGATTTCTTCGAAATATTGTGCTGTTTGTAGTAAATGTTCCAGTGAAATTATTCCGTGACGCGTTTTATGGGAGTTAGGCTACTTTGTTAACTAGCTTCCAGTATGAATATTTTATCCCACATTTTGCAATTACTGTTGATGATAATTGTTGTTTTTAGAAAGATGATGCTGCGTATTTATCGATTGCAGCGTGTACGCGTGTTAGTAGAGATTGACTAATAACGAAATTAAACTAAGATCGTTCTGGTGTTGGATCGATAAATTGCCTGATGTTAATTGGAGTTTTGTACGGTATTCGGACGTTTCATTCACCGTTCCTTCCTGCACTTATTTTATTTTCCCCGAATAGGAGAAATTTAACAGAACTTTAAACATGCGTAATTTCTACTCGTGGTCAACTAGAACTCCAGTTCTACGGCTGATCTCTCGCTTTCTCGGGAATGAAAAGTTCAAACGAGATAACTTATCTTTTTGCACTTCCCCCACAGTTTCTTTCCACGCTCTGCCTTTTATTTCTGTCATTAGTTTCGTCGACAGATTTTCGAATGCTGTTTCGAATGCAACAATCAGTGTAATAACAATTTTCTCGCATCTCCATGGAAAAGACGGCAGATACGACACGTTTTCTGTTTTATAACCAATCTTCCTCGGACCGTGAAGGACAAAGACTTCGACTACTTTCTGTGCCGATTTTTATCGTTCAGGACGAAAGAGTAATCGTGGAAATTTTATCGGCTAGATGGAGAAATACAAGGAAGGCCGGTGCAGTCGTTTACAAGTTATTTTCCGATTGTTAAGTCACGTTAAGCGTGGCTGATAATTCGATTTTAATTCGAATTTTCTATACGGCCACGCCGGACAGCGATTGATTACATACATCGCACGTGTTTCGTTTGTTACACCGCTCACGTACCCGAATGAGAAATTCACTTGTCGTTCGTTCGCTGTTTTTCGACGCGATTTTGCAAAATCTCGATCTCTTTCGATCACGCAAAATTTCGACCTTGCAATGTTGGAAAAATTCTGCGAAATAGTTATCTGATGAAGATTAACAACGACAGCTAAGGCAAGTTGGATCTTCAAAAATAGCTGGATTTTGCAAATCTCCGTGTCTTTCGATCACGTCAAATTTCGACCTTGCAATGTTAAACGAAATTCTGTAAAAATTCTGCGAAACAGTTACTTGATCAAGATTAATAACAATAGCTAAGTCGAGTAATATCTTCAAAATAGCTGATGAATCATAACTCGCTGTAATCTTGGTAAACAAATATTAAATGTCGAGGATTTAAAAAATGTGATAGAAGAGCTTCGTTGAATATTTCGCTCTAACATTGTGCATATTCTAATTTTTACAAAATTGTTCATAATTTTATGCTCCTACTGTCAAATTTCGTACTCTCAAATAATAAACGTGAACACTGAAAAATGTGCAGTAGATATTGAGATGTTCGGACTGGCAGAAATATTCAGAAAGTGGAGAGAAAACGTGTGGAAGGTGTAAAACAGAAAATGATACGCTGTCGTTTCCATAAATCAGGAAGCGTTTTTCGAGAGAATATAGACACTCAATTTCTCAGAAAATGATACGCTGTCGTTTCCATAAATCAGGAAGCGTTTTTCGAGAGAATATAGACACTCGAACCGGGGAGTGAAATTGATGGTTTTGGCGAAGGAGGAACGGGAAAATGGCATATTACGTAAAATCCACGGTAGTGAGCGCGGCGAAATTGTGGCACAATAATTGAAGCGAGTTTCCCACGTGCCAGAGGTAGTACTATCAGGTACAAACTGAAGAGGCGTGGTGTGTTTTCTCTTACTTTCGTCACAGGGGGACTTCGTCATACGTTAATCTCAGGGAAGAAAGCCGGACTATGATGTCACGGTTGTTTCTTCGTTGCTTTCACTCGTTTCGACGTTTGTGTTCTCTCTCCTCTCACATCGTGTGTTCCTCGATAATTTCACGTTTACCACGTGAACCCTTTGTGGATATTTCACTTCAGGTCTACATCTCGGTGTTTATTTTACGTTTAAGTTGGCTGTAGAAATTACGGCAGTAGACTTTCTTTTTTAGACATTTTTCTAGTAAGCTTGTATGTATGTTTTGTTGAATTTTTCTTGGTAGAAGAATTATTATAGTGAAATACAGTAACGTTGTTGTAATTTATCGTTGTGAAAAGTAAGATTAACGCTAGTACGATCTTCGGGTCATTTTTGACCCGTCATCTTCTTATTTCTTTTTAGTAACTTTTGCTGTTATTAATTTTACGTTTCCTTGATGTTGTATTAGAAGTTTATCGTCTAGGTTCGTGCGCTGGTAACGAAAATTGTTAAAATTGTTGCACATAAGGTCTTGGGGTCTTTTTTGACCCAAGGAAACGGAAGAACGCGCTAGGGTTGAGAATTGTAGATAAATTACCGACTGGGTATTTAGTTATCTTATCGACGATTTCAGTCCTTCGGTGTACAGCGTAGAAATGTATAAATTCCTCTTTGAAAAAATTCACCGATCGTTACGCGTCAGAGTACGTATTTTTTTAAATCGAATCCTTGAGGATTTATCGTCGCGACGAGAAAACTCGTTTGGCGTGACATATCTGTGTCCGATCTCCCCCCGAAAATATTCTAATGAGGCTCATTGTGATTAATTAGAGCGTAACTCCTACAGAAAACTTTTTTTCCCACCGTGACATCAAACTGTTGCAGATACGGATGACGTTCACGGTGATTTATTTGTAGATATCACGTTGACCTCGTGTGTATATATGTACATCGAGATCTAGAAACATGCATAAATTAGCGTTTAGAGGTCACGGCTATGCTGGTTTTCAAAATGGAGAAGCACTCCGTGGTTCTTCCAGCTGCAGAATCGACGAAGCTTCTGCTTGCTTTCCTTAGGCTGCTCCTCTTTCTTTTTTACGTCTCTGGCACAATAATGTCGCTTTCTCCGTTCACTACGGTGAGAAAGTCTTTTCTGTGAACCATTTTGAGAAATTTTTATCACATCAAATCACGTATTCTTCTTCGTAGTGTGAATTGAAACATAATTCACCAATGCGTCATCAGTCAGATAATTAATATTCATTCGCTGAAATTCAGTAATTTGTAAATTTTTGAAAAATTTAGATTGAAATTAGTTATAGGTATTAATCGTATAGAAGCTTAAAATTAGTAAATTAGTTATTTTTCATGTCTCACTGTAGAATTTATCTTTTGCTAATTTGTAGACGTTTTACGAAACTGTGTAAAGTATGTTTATCAATTTTTTCTATTTCCTATTTATAGAATTCACTTTTTCTCGTATGTGCAGTTTGGTTTTGAGACATTTTTAGACGGTTCACGCAAGGCAAACTTGTAATCTTGTCACAGTCGACGTTAATAATAACAGTACATTACTAGGAAATTACTCGAATATTCGACAGGTATAATTTTGCTTTGCGTAAGCTACATATGCATTTCTTTTTACGCGAAATGCTTCAGGTCACGCGTGTTCTATTTCACACTTCCTTCTTTATTTCATCAAGATTCTTCATTTATAACTGTATCGCTTCCTTAACAATTATCTGTAAAATTTCAATGTCTCTTAATTTTTTATATTCTCATAAAATTAATTAGCCTACTATTAATATCACTTACCAACTATTAAAACAATACCCTAATTGAACCAATTTTTCATATCTTTTACAACAGCATTTTTCGACTCGAAATTCAAGTATTCAGTGTAATAAAAACATCTGACATTTACAACAAAATATTCTCTAAATCCGCTGCAGTATCCCTCCATTTCAAAATTTTCAATTCGACGACATCTTTACGCACACTAAAAAAAAAAAGAAAAAATATTGTAACAATTTTTCACAAAGAAAAAGTGTTCGATGAATTTCTTCAACGATTACTCGTCTCCTTCCAGGTAACGTTGCTATTATCAGCGCTATTGTTGTTCACCGGCGTGTCGGCGCAATGTCTGACCGGAAACGACAATCCTCCGACGATGATGTCAGGATCGAAGAAGGCGTTGATCGACTCTAAATTCGGCTTTGCTCTCGAAACGTTCAAGAAGACGGCGCAGCTCGTGTCGCGTGACAACGTTTTCTACAGCCCTTACAGTATTCACGAGGCTTTAACATTGGCGTACTTCGGCGCTCGGGGAACTACCGAGCAGTCCTTGAGGAGAGCTCTGCACATACCGAACGATCTGTCTAAAGTCGACGTGCAACGATACTACGCCTTCGAGAAGTCCATCAAGGAACACATGGATGCTCAGGTAAGGTGGTTCGAAACCGTGTGGTTGCATCATTATCGTTCGAGTTAGCAACTGTTCCAAGGCGAGCCACATAATCGTGACATCAGACGGGATGTCGAACTGTTTAGTACTCGAGACGATCAGACCTTTCAGCCTTGGCAATCTGTATAGTTAGAAGTACCTTGAAATAGCTTAGGTTCTTTGAACTCGAGATATAGAAAGAACTTTCGTTTGATAGCTGCTTCGTAGAAATTCTTAATGAACCTCTTGTCGACGCAACGTTTGATAAAACAGAAATGTTCGTTTCTTCGGTATAGAGAATTGTGGTTACCTCGAATGCTTGGTTTTATTTGCCTATTCTTAGTTATGCGCTTTTTTTTCTTACTGTTAAATACATTTTTAACGTATTTTTTTGATATTTTTATTTTGCGATTTAAATAGTGTCGTATTCTTAAATAATTGCAGCTTTAGAACATTTTCAATATTTTTCTGATATTTAAAAATTTTGATATTTTTGTTTTATGATTTAAGTAGTGTCGTATTCTTGAGTAATTGTAGCTTCACGAAAGTTTCATTGCATGTTTTTTGTTGTTGGATGAAATAGTTCAACTGTTCCCATTTTGCAGTACACGAATTCTTATGGCTGTAAAGCAACAAATACTATCATGAAATGACTAATTATTAAGAATTTTTATAATAAGTGTTTACGGTGTACTTGAAACATACATTTCCTTTTATTCGTGATAATTTAGTCCGTAATATAATTGTATCACAACGTATATTCCAATTTAATATAAAAAAATTAAAAACAAGGTTTTTTCTTCGCAAGAAAGTTCTAATTTTCCATTTAAAGAAATGATTTTCAAGTGAAACTTTTAGCTTAATACAATAGTAGATATACAAATTAATTTAAGTGATATTCAAATTAGTTTTCCTTTTTGTTACACAGGGTAACGCATCGGCAAATTACGAATACAAGTCAGCGAATCGATTATGGATAACGGATAAGGCAAATGTACGAGAATGTATGTTGGACTTATTTAGTGGCCAGTTAGAAAAGACAGATTTCCATACAAATCCAGCTGCAGTTCGTGATCGTATCAATCATTGGGTCAGTAACATAACCAAAGGACACATTCGCGATCTTCTTTCTCCTGATAGCATCGGGGAGGATACCGATTTAGTGTTGGCAAACGCGGTATACTTTAAAGGACTTTGGCGAAGTCGTTTCGATCCTGCTAATTCCAAGAGAGATCTTTTCTACACTTCTGGATCGCAGCATTCCATGGTTACGTACATGAGGCAAAAAGGGAATTTCAATCATCGTAAGTTGAATCAATTGTAACTGAAAATATGAATTATTAATGTCAAACATTTTTCTGTTTAAAACACTGTTATTTATATGTTTTTAATTTCGAATGCTTACTTTTTCTATTAAAGTTTTTTATCTTCTGTTATTTACCATTACATCGAATATTTATTCGAAAATTCTTCGGTAATTGTAAAATATAGTATTTATATATTCTATACCATCTGTACATTGGAAAAAACAATTCTTATCATGTTCAGTGATAGGTGATAAGAACTTCAAATAGATAAATCATTTGCTAATTCTATTAAGTGTTCAATATTTGATTTGCAACAAGTGCTTCTTAAGTAAACCTTAAAAAATCAATACATGGAATATGATAAATATTATAATATAATATTTTGACTAAAGTAGTCATATATTTTAACTACTTTGTTATATTTAATCATATTACCTGATTTATTGGTATATGTGATATTAGTTGAATCTCGTACAACAAATGTATTATTACATTTTCCTGAATCTAACAATACGAAAATATCTTTCACGAGAAACTAAGTTAGTCAAGTTGTCATCTAGATGAATAAATCGTTACAATTATGATTTATAATTTATGATTTAGATTAGAATATAAATTCAAATCATAAATTATACGTAATAAATAAACATAAATAAATGGGAAAAATTTTGTTTGCAGTTATCTCTGAGGTTCTTGGCGCGCACGTCTTAGAACTACCCTATAAGGGTAACGAAGTTTCTATGTTCGTTTTACTTCCACCATTCGCCACCGCAAAGATGTTCAATGATTCTGAAACAGCCGGTGATCGAGACAGTGTGCGTCAATTAGTCGAACGTATTTCCACTGAGACTGGATCCGCAGAACTACGTGATCTCTTGGATTCTGGTATACCCCCGCAACAAGTAGAGGTTATTTTGCCGCGTTTCGAGATAGAGAAAGAACTTCCATTGACCGCGTTGCTTCATGAAATCGGCGCAGGTGAATTATTAATGCCTAACATGGCCGATCTTCGAGGTTTCGTTGAAGGTAACGAGAAGACATTGCATCTCGGTGACGCTGTACATCGCGCGCGAATTGAAGTCACTGAAGAGGGCACCACTGCAGCTGCAGCTACGGCCCTCTACTCTTTTCGCTCAGGTCGACCATTGCAACCGGCGATTTTCGATGCAAACCATCCGTTCATTTATTTCATTTACGATAAAGCCATGCGTACGATATTGTTTAGTGGAATTTATCGCACTCCTAACTCTCCGCAGAATACCGTACAGACGGCTTAATGCATTCAGCGTTTGCCGTCGTTGTTCCTTGTTATATCTTGGATCTTTAATGTGTGCGTGGTAAGCAGTGTGTGAGCTTTATGTAAGTTTGTACGTGCGTATAAAGTGAGGTTTGTTTCATGCATTTTATAAGATAAATACGATGGATCGTTATTTGTAGAACATTGTTAAGAATTTTTCGGAGCCTTCGATTATAAATATTCTGGTGCATTCCATTGGATCACGTATTACGTGAATTTTTCTTTTAAATTTGTTATATCGTACGTGCAACAAATAATATGCGAATTCTTGAGGTGTGTTTGTTACCATGGTAAAAAATGTGAAAGCAAACCATCTATGATACCATTTTGAATATTCTATATGAAAAACTGCTATTGTACGAGTTTTGTGATACTTTTATTATACGAACGGTAAAGTGTTAACAAATATTGTTCACTTTAATTACTGACAATTCAAAATAAAGATTTTAATTTATACTGTTAATGATAAATTATTCTATTTATGAATTATGATAAAAAAATTTTTGAACCATACGATTTAATTTTTATTGATCAATTTTGAGTAAAAATAATGTCTTTTTTTTAATTTTCACGCGA